TTTAAAGTGTTTTAGAGACAGGGTCTCATTCTGCAATTCAGGCTGGCCTTGAACTCAAAACAATCCTCTTGCCTGGGATTATAAGCATGAGTTACCTGGCTCTTTTTTTTTTTTTCCAGCATTCAAAATTAAACCCAGGGCTTTCTCTACCATTAGGTCACATCCCCAAGCCTCTTTTTAAATTTTATTTTGAAGCAGGGAGATTGCTTCAAATTCAAGGTAGCCAAGTCTGAGTAAACCAGCTCCCACTCTGCTCCTCCCAGATTTTCTTTCCCTCCTTCTCCTCTCCTGCATATAATTAAGATTAATTTGGATTTTTTTGAGACATAGCCCAAGCTAGACTTGAACTTGATAAGTCAAAGAGGATGACCTTGAACTCCTGATCCTCCTGCCTCCATCTCCCAAGTGCTGAGGTTACAGGCATTGGGCTTCCTATTTATTTTAACAGATGAATCAGGTGACTCAAGAGAGGGGACGCAATCTAGCCAGTCACTCAGATGCCTGCCAAGTGCTCCCTCAAAATAGCCCTGCTGGATGGGAGGTATAGCTCAGGGGTAGAGTGTTTTGCCTAGCAGGTGAAAGGCTCTGCATCCCATCCTCAGCCCTTTAAAACACCTAACAGACAGCACTGTTCACCTTCCACCCTAGGTGGGCCGCCATCAGCACTGTGCCTGCCCCCGGTGCCCCCCCTGCCTTCCTCTAGCCCCTCCCCAGAGCCTCTCTTGAGACCCCCCCCACCTCCCTCCTAAGTGACAAGATGCTGAGCTGGCCAGATGAGCTGTCCCATCTCCCTGTTGCTCGTCCCTGGCTGCGAGGCCCCCAGCCCTGCTGACTACAGACTGTGAGTATGAGGCTGAATGAAGGAACCTGAATGAGTGAGGTGGGGAGGGAATGGTGAGGGCAGGTGGAGACTCACCTGGTCCCACAGAACCATCTGACGGTTGTTCCAGCGGGATGTCCCAGTGGACAGTAATTTCTTTAGGTTTCCCAGGAAGAGTACCTTATTGGCCCGGTGCCCCTTGTAGCTGGCTTCCTGGAGGGACATGTGTGGTCAGTGATGGACAGCTGTGGAGATGGGACCCCCCAGTCTTTGGCTGGAGTTCCTGGCCTCCCCGTTTGGCTCCTGCTGTAGCCCTGCTTGGAAAGCCTCTATCACCCAGCTCTATGGAGGCAGCACCTCCAGGAAACTGGCCCTGGTCCCTCCCTCCAAATGAAGTCTCTTGCCACTCTGTTGAGAGCTGTTTCTGAGTACAGTCCAGGCACACCTCTGGCCACTTCACTGTTTTTTTGTTTGTTTGTTTTTGAGTCAGGGCCTCACTATGTAGCTAGGCTGGCCTTGAACTCTCATTCCTGTCTCAGCCTCTCAACTGCTGGGATTACAACATGCGCCACCGGGCCCTGCTCCATTCCACTCTTGCCAGAAATATACTGAGCACTTGTTTTAAGTGAGGCAGGAGATCTGGGTGGACACTGTCAGATCTAGGTGGACACCGTCACCCGAGTTGTCTTATTTAACCCTAGTGAAGAAGGACAAAAGGCCCATTGTAGTTGCTGAGCAAACGGAAGCTCAGAGAGCAGAAAGGTAGCACAGTGGCCCAACTGTGGGGCCTGGTGTCCTGATCCTGGCCAGTGACAGAGCTGAGGCATCCTGGCCAGCTCTGGAGTCAGAGCAGGTTCATCTCTCTCTCTTCAACCTTATTCAGGCTGGTCATTTCCTCTCTCCGGCCTCAGCTTTCCCATCTGGAAAGTGGATGCAATGCACCTCACCAACCTATCACACTCCAGCCACCCTACCCCAACCCCCGTGATACTGAGGCCAGCTGGGGATGCTGCTCCTACCCTCCAGCCCACTGACCCCTTGCTTTTTAGACCCTGCACTGACCTTCAGGACAGTCCCTAGGCGGGGGTCAAGAACACGAATCTTTCGATCCTTACAGGTGGTGGCCATCAGGCTGCCATTGGTGTTGAAGGACATGGAGAGGATCACGTCCTGGTGGCAGGAGATTGTCTTCACAGGGCTCACAACTACAGACTCCTTTGTGTCCAGATTCCACACCATCACCTGTTCAGGGAAGTGCCAGCCCTGAGCACAGTGGCCACTTGGCAAGACTCCCATAGTCACACGGCGGGTGGCAGGTGGTGGTGAAACTCAGTATTCCCAGGAGGGAAGCTGAAGCTGGCAGCCAGGCCATGAAGCATAGTGTGGGGTGTATGGTTGAGGCTGCATGGGCAGCAGGGGGTAAGCTGGAAGTCAGGCTGTCTAGCAGTGGAAGGAAAACACCATCTGCCTCTGAACCACAAAACATGCATGCTGGGAGGACCCTAGGGGACAGTTAGGAGCAGCACTTTCCACTTTGTGTGGATAACCAGAGCTGCCCAGGCAACCCATGGCCACACCGGATGACGTAGCATGCCCTGGAGTTGTGCTAGATTACATAGCCACACACACACATCCTCCACATCAATAGATACACAAGCACTTCTGACCAGAACCTTTCAACAGTTTCCACCTCTTTTGAATCTCTCACAGAGGCCCCTGAGGTGCCTCTATAAACCTCAGCAGAGACTGCTCTGTCTGCAGACTTGAGCTCAGAAACTAAGCCCAGCGAAGAGGATCATGGGACAGTCTCATGTAAATCATAAATAATATGAACAGGCCTCTAGTTGCCAGTGCTGGGAACCTGTCCGATCCGTCCTGTCCTGTTCTCCAAGGCCCATGGTCTCTGGGCACTAGGTGGAGCTGGGGAGGAGTTGGGTTCGGTACAGCTCAGCCCCTGCAGGCAGACTGGGTAGGGTGAAATGTGTCCCAATCATGCCCACCCAGAACCTCCAATGGATTTATTTGGGAACAGGGTCTTTGTAGTTGAGATGAGGTTACAATAAATGAGGGTGGGCTCTCAACCCAACAACAGCTGTCCTTATAAGAAGAGGAGATGACACACAGGGACATAGGTGAAGACAGGCAAAGACCGGTATGACAGAGAGGTATGGAAGGGTGCTCCCAGGGCCCATGAAAGCAGCATGCCTCCAACACCAAGACTGAGGCTTCTAGTCTCTAGTGCTCTCAGAGAAGCTTCAAGAGTCTTACATGCCAGTGGGGAGCTGTCTGTCCAAGACCCTCAGACTCACCTTGTAGTCATAGCCAGCGCTGAAGAGGATGTTGGCAGCTGTAGGGTGCCATTCCACCAACCCCACCCTGCGTGCATGGCCCACCAGCTCCTTCCTGTAAGTGGTGAGGTTCCTTGCCAGCAATTGCTTGGGGATGTCCCAGATCTTAATCTAGAAGGGAGATGTGGGTGGCAGAGTGAGCTGGGGGCACCTTGGTACCTTTGCCAATCTTGTTTTTTTTTTTTTAATCTTTTTGAGAGGGTCTCCCTGTACCTTTGCCACCCTTAGCCATGAATCTGGTAGTTCTTGGCAGAAGGACCTGAGGGGCTGCTCTCCATCGCCACACCCCACCGAGTGGAGAAGAAGCTGGAGGCTTCAGAAGGACAGGGGCTTCCCCAAGGTCCTCCAGCCAATCAGGGGATAACCTTAACCAGAAGGAAGCCTTTGCTCCAAAACCTTCCCCAGGAGCTTTGGCCATTCCAGTGTCCCAAGGTAAGCTAAGTGGGTAGGGTGGATTGAAGGCGGAAGGGGCTGCCATGGCAAAGGGCAAAGTCTCTGTCATGGAGGAATAGAAATGGAGCCACGGGGGAGCTGCATGGGGACACGGAGCCTGAGTTAGTGCCACAGGGTTCTCAGGCCCCTCTGTCAGAGCTCAGACCATGTCTCATAGAGATAAGCAGGTTTCCCAGGAGGCTTTGCTGTAGTTCAACACCATTTATTTCCCGGTCTTGTCTTTGAAACTAGGCCATGAACTCCACATGTACTTAGAGCTGAACCTTGTGGGTGGGTCTGCTCAGGAGGGAGAGGTGTGTCATGACAGCCAGCTACTACTGTGTCTAGGGGAGAAGAAGCAGGGGATGCTTCGCAAGTACAGTTACATGGACTAAGTCTACTGCTGTACCAGCCCAATCATCCTGTCCCTTCCCTTCTACCTGAAGCAACCAGAAGGGATAGTGCCAGGTCAGAAGCCTTTAAGCAAGATCTATCAGGATGTGGGTAGCCCACACCTGTGATCTCAACACTAGGGAGCCTACCACAGGAGGACTATGAGTTTGAGGTCAGCCTGGGCTACTTTGGGAGACCCTGTTCTCTAAAAACAAAACAAAACAAAAAAATCCCCACCCCACCCCAACAAAGATCCCTCAGGGGACCCACAGAGCAGGATTTCAAGGACAGCCATGCTGGCCACACGCTCACAGGGTGACAGGGTGACAGACAGGGTCTGCCTGTTTGGTGAAAGTGTTTTTATGTCTTTCAGTAATCTCCTACATGAAAACTGACACAGTCCTCTCAAAACTTTCTTTCAAAAGATTTTTATGTATTTATTTTTATTTTACATGTGTGAGTGCTTTGCCTATATAGATATAAGTGCATTCATGTCAAACAATGCTTGTAGATGCCAGGAAAGGGTGTTAGATCCCCTGGAATGGGAGTTACGATGGTTGTTAGCCACTATTTGGGTGCTGGGAACTGAACCCAGGTCTTCTGCAAGAGCAGCCAGTGCCTTCAACCTCTGAGCCATCTTTCCAGCCCCCACTTTCTGTTTTTTTTTTTTTTCCTTCCTGAGACAGGGTCTTACCCTGGCTGGCTTGGAATTCTCTATGCAAACCAGGCCTGCCTCTGCCTTCTGAGTGCTGGGATTAAAGGCATGCATCACCATACCCAGCCAAAACTTTCTTTAAAAAAATTTTTTTATGTATATGAGTGTTTTGCTTTCATGTATATAAGTGCACCCATGTTTGTTCAGTGCTCATAGATGTCAGAAGAGGGCATTGGATCCCCTGGAACTGGAGTTAACTACCATGTGGGTGCTGGGAATCAAACTGAGTCCTCTGCAAGAGCAACCAGTGCTCTTATCTGCTGAGCCCTCTCCAGCCCTTCACCCCAACTTTCTTTTTTGAAATAAGTTCTTCCTATACAACCCGGGCTGGCCTGGAACTTGTGATCTGCCTGCCTTAGCCTCCTAAGTGCTAGGTTTGCATGTATGTGCCACCATACCCAGCCCTCTTAGAATTTTTTGCCTTTCTTTCCTACTAAACTGGTCTGCTTCTTTCTGTAATACATTCTATTTCCCTTTTTGCCTAAGCTTCCAGGCAGCTCCAGGCCAAACCAGGAACTCATTCTTCATCCCGCATTGCTGATGTTTCTATTTTCTCACTTTCATTGCATGTGGTTGTTTCTCTTGAGGAAAATGGCACAGCTCTGGGGACAGAGATGGCTCTGGAGTCAGATAGGTCTCAGCCCGAACTCCCTGCACTGTATAACCTTGGGTTACTTGTGGTTGGTTCTTTTCTGAGTTGGATATGTTACCCTGTAGGGTTGCTGGGAAGACTGAGTGAAGGAATCAGTGTGGCAAAGTCAGGATACAGTGAGATCTCAAGAAATGCTGTGACTTTTATTCATATCTGATTTATTTATTTATTTATTTATTTATTTATTTATTTAGGGTGTGTGTGTGTGTGTGTGCACGGGTGTGTGCACGCCACTGTGAGTGTTTGAAGGTCAGAAGGCAATTTGCAGGAGTTGTTTCTCCTTCCACCATACAAGTCCTGGGGATCAAACTCAGGTTGTCAGACTTGTATAAAAGCACCTTTACCTATTGAGCCCATTCATACTCTAATCATATGCTCACATATGAACATTTTGTTTTAAGCTGCAACCACTATATTTTAGAAACAGGAACAGAAATAATTATAAATAGCACTGAACAGTATGGGGATGGGGACTTTGAACCTGGCATGGAAGAGGAACTCAGAGGACAACACAGCTCTCTGGGCAACACAGAGAATGGGCGGGCTTGGCCTCTTGGGATGGTTTTGGGTCTGGTTCATAAAAAGCCTCTTGCTTGTCCTTCACTCTCCTGGCATGAAGTGGTGATATTTGCGGACCCCCTCACAGCATGCATAGCCCCTGTGGGCAGAGCACTTCCTGGGAACATGAATCTCACTGGGTCTTATCAGGTGGGCAGAAGCTACTATGCCCATGTTGTGGGTGGGGAAACTGAGGTCCATAGAGAGGAGATCCCACACACCCAGAATGTTTCCTGAACCTCTCACTTTCTCCCTGTGAAGTTACCTCACCCTAGCCTTGAAGGAATTGGGGCACCAAAGCCAGGTATGGACATGACCATGGGCATGGACACTGACCCAGGCCCTTTTTCCAAGTCAGGCAAGCACTGTGCCAACACTCACCGTGGCATCTTCGGAGCAGGAAGCAATCTCAAAGTCATTAAAAGGGTTCCACTTGATGTCCAACACATTCCCTTTGTGCCCGCAGACCTTTGGGTAGTGGGGGTCCAACTTCCCTGTCTGTAAAACAGTGCCACGAGTAATGAGGAGAAGGTTGGTAAGATGTTAGCTTCTGGATGGTCACTCAGTCAGTCAGCAGTCCCTGACTAAGCAGAAAAGTGTGAGGGACAGAACAGGGGCAAATCAGTTCTTGCCACACATCTCTATGTGACCCTGGGGGAGTCACTTCACTTCTCTGAACCTGGCTGTCCTCTTTGGAATGGGATGCAATAGCTGGACTGAAGGCCATGGGAAAGGCCTGGTTAGGAACCCAACACATGGCAGGTGTTAAGTAAAGGCATTTCCATCAGATGCTGCTGTGGGAACAGAATGTGGGGTGGTCCTTTCAGAAGTGGCCTGGCAGTTCCTCAAAAGTTAAACACCAAGTTAAACCATGTGACCCAGAAGTTCTGTGCCTAGACATATCCCTGAGAAATAAAAACATGAATAGGCTGGGCGTGGTGGCACACGCCTTTAATCCCAGCACTCGGGAGGCAGGGGCAGGTGGATCTTTGTGAGTTCGAGGCCAGCCTGGTCTACATAGCAAGTTCCAGGTCAGCTGGGGCTATAGGGAGACCCTGTCTCAAAAAGACCAAAAAAACCCAAAAACATGGATAAACAGTGTCCACAGCAGCACTGTCTGTGACAGCCAAAAGGTGGAGGCCCATCAGGTGAGCAATGGAATACACAAAATGCAACACAGTTACACAGTGGAATATTATTCAGTCAGAAAAAGGAAGTCCATGAATGAACTTTAAAAACATTATCCCAAGTGAAAGAAACTGACATGAAAAACCACATATCACCAGATGAGGAGGCTCATACCTGTAATCTCAGCACTTGGGAGGCTGAGGTAAAAAAATCAAAAGTTGAGGCCAGCCTGGACTACAGAGGGAAACCTTGTCTCAAAATAAACACACAAGCAAGCAATATATTAGTTAGGCATGGTGGCATATGCCTACTGTCCCAGCAACTCAGGAGGCTGAGGCAGGAATTACAAGGTAGCCTAGGCAACATCATGAGTCTCTCTCTCTCTCTCTCTCTCTCTCTCTCTCTCTCTCTCACACACACACACACACACACATACACATACACTGTGATTCCTCTTGTGTGAGCAGATTAGCATCTTCTTATATCTGGTATGCAGAACTCTGATTAACACATTTGCAAAACCCAAAACATGTAAATTCATGGAGACAGTAGATTAGCAAAATTTGGGCTGGGAGAGGGATTGGTAATGACCAAAGGTGGTTGGGTTGGTCTCTCTGTCTCTCTCTCTTTCTCTCTGTCTCTGTCTGTCTGTCTCCCTTCCTCCCTCCCTCCCTTTTTTCCCCCTCCCTTCCTTTAAAAAATTTTTTTTTGGTCTTTTTGAGACAGGGTCTCCCTATAGCCCCAGCTGGCCTGGACTCACTATGGAGACCAGACTGGCCTCAAACTCCCAGAGATCCGCCTGCCTCTACCTCCTAAGAGCTGGGATTAAAGGTGTGTGCCACCACGTCCGGCTTCTTTTTTAAAATTTTTAAAATTTATTATTTTTATTTTATGTGTATGAATGTGTTGCCTGCATGTGTAAGTGCATCTGTGTCATGCAATGCCTAAGGAGGTCAGAAGGGGGCATCGGATCCCCTGAAACTGGAGTTACAGACAGTTGTTAGCTGCCATGTGAGTGCTTGGAATTGAATCCAGGTCCTCTGCAAGAGCAGCCAGTGCTTTTAACTGCTGAGCCATCGCTCCAGTCCATTTCTTTATTTTTTTTTAAATTGATTAAAAAAAATTTTTTTTAGAATTTCATACATGAGTATTGTCTGCATTATTTCCATCCTGCCCAGTCCCATCAACTCCTCCCATGTCCCCTTACTCCCTCTTAATTTATACTCTTCTTTGATTATGATTGTTACATACATATACATTTACAAATATACATACACATTATATAGAGATAGATGATAGATTAGATAGATGATAGATTAAATAGATAGATAGATGATAGATGATGGATGATGGATGGAAAGATAGATGATAGATAGATAGATAGATGTTAGATAGATAGATAGATAGATAGATAGATAGATAGATAGATAGATAGGATGACACCCACCAGCCCCTTGGCTTGTCAGCTGGCTTTGTCATTATGCAGGTCTCATTAGACTATAATACTTCCTTGTTTTCTGAGATGGGGTTTCAATGAGTTTAGGCTTTTCTTGTAGCCAAAGGATGACCTTGATCTCTGGATCTTCCTGCCTCCACCTTCTGAGTGCTAAGATTACAGGCTAGGATTATAGATGTGCACGACCATGGCTCTGCTCTTTTTTGTCTGTTTAGTTTATGGTTTTTATTTGGGCTTTTTGAGACAGTTTCACTCTATAGGTCAGCTGGCCTGGAACTCACTCTGTAGCTCAAGGCTGGCCTCAAACTCAAGGCCGGCAATCCTCCTGCCTCAGCTTCTGAGTGTTAGGGACTGCAAACAAATGCCACCATGGCAAGCTATAATGCCCTTCTTTCCCTTCTTTCCCTTCCTTCCTTCCTTCCTTCCTTCCTTCCTTCCTTCCTTCCTTCCTTCCTTCCTTCCTTCCTTCTCTCTTTCTCTGTCTGTCTGTCTCTCTTTATCTTTTAGACATTAGAGACATTGACACATTTAAAAAAATGGCTGACATGAAATATTGTTGTAATGCTAAACTTACTGAAGCTGGCTTTATGCATGAGCTATACTAAGGAAGTACTGAATATTTCTGGATAAAAGGCCATTATGTATGTAACTTGCCCTCAAATGGTTCAGACAAAAACATACATTAAGCCAGGCCTGTAACCTTAGCTACTTAAGAAGATGAGGTAGGAAGACCACAAATTCAAGACATGCCTGGGCAACTAAATGAGCCTCAAAAATTTAAAAAGTGGGGGAAAGGGTGGGGAATATAACTCTGTGGTAGAGCACTTGCTGAGCATGCTTAAGACCTGGGGTTCAAACCTCAGCGCCGCCAAAGAATAAGAAAGCACATACATGTACACTCAAGGAATGTGGACTCCTGTCATTTGTTACTGATGTGTGAGGAGGTGGGACCCAATATCACTTCCCTTTTCTGATGGTTCCACCTTCTCACAGGTGGAAATGGGGCCTCGGGGCAGGCCAGCCAGTGCATGTTCCCAACAGACTTCAGTGGAGCAGGCCTCCTGCAGGAAACCAGTCTTAGCAGCTCCTGGACCAGGGCATTCTGCGCACTCTCCTCAGGGTGAGTTCCCACTCTCCAACATGGTCTCCTGTAGCCCAGGCTCACTTGGCCTTGAACTCTCTATGTAGCTGAGGATGACCTTGAACTCCTGATCCTCCTGCCTCCACCTTTCAAGAGCTGAGATTACATGGGAACGCTGGCTTGCACCACCACACCTGCCTTTCAGGGTGAGTTTTTGAACATGAAATCTGCTCATGTTATGCACCAGCTTCAGTTCTACAGGCCTGTTCCTCAAGCTTCAAGTGTGATCAAGATTGCTACAGCTCAGAAGAGATACTGTGTATAAAAAAGCAGAAAGGGAGGGGTTATCGTAAGGGCTCAGTGATAGTAGCTGACAGTAAGCCATTATTCCTGACAAGTATCTGACTATCAAAGCCAGAAACAAAAGAGAAGAAAAGCCTGAACATCAGCATTACATACATGGTAGAATGCATGGGCTTTAAAAAATGTCATCTTGGGGCTGGAGAGACAGCTCAGTGATTAAGAACACTGGTTGTTCTTGCAGAAGACCTGGGTTCAAATCCCAGCACCCACATGGCAGCTAACAGCTGTCCGTAACTCCAGTTCCAGGGGATCCGACGGCCTCTTCTTTATTCCGCAGGCATTGCATGACACGAGTGCACTTACCTACATGCAGGCAATACATTCATACACGTAAAAAAATAAAATAAAAAGTATTTTTTTAAATGTCATCTTTGCCTTTTTTTTTCTTGAGATAGGATCTCATGTAGCCCAGACTGGCCATCAGCTCACTCACTATGTAGCCAAAGACAGTCTTGAACTCTGCCCTTTGCCTCTTATGTGCTGGGATTATTGGCACATACCACCCCTATCGTCTCTGTATTTTTTTTTTTTTTTTTGAGACAGGGTCTCCCTGTAGTCCCAGCTGGCCTGGAACTTGGAACTCACTATGAGGACCAGGTTGCCCTTGAATTCACAAAGATCCACCTCTGTCTGCCTCTGCTTTCTGAGTGCTAGGATCTTTTTTTTTTTAATTTTATTTTTGTCTTTTTAAAATTTTTAAAAAATATTTTATTTATTATTTTTATTTTATGTGTTTGAGAATATTGCCTGCATGTAGGTAAGTTCATGTGTGTAGTGCAATGCCTGCGGAGGGCAGAAGAGCCATCAGATCCCCTGGAACTAGAGTTACGGACAGTTGTTAGCTGCCATGTGGGTGCTGGGATTTGAAACCAGGTGTTCTGCAAAAGAACAAAGCTGCTGAGTCATCTCTCTAGCCCCCTATTTTTTGTCTTTTTTGAGACAGGGTCTCCCTGTAGTCACAGCTGGCCTGGATTTGCTATGGAGATCAGGCTGGCCTCAAACTCGCAGAGATCTGCCTGCTTCTGCCTCTGCTGGGATTAAATGCATGTGCTACCATGCCTGGCTTTATCTTTTTAAAAGATTTTTTATCTGTATTTTATGTATATGGGTACTTCGTGTACCACATGTGTGCCAGTACCCACAGAGGCCAGAAGAAGGTGCTGGATCCCTTGGAACTGCAGTTACAGATGGTTGTGAGCTGCTATGTGGGTACTGGGAACTGAACTCAGGTCCTCTACAAGAGCAATCAGTGCACTTGACTGCTCATCCATCACTCCAGCAACTCCCTATTTTTTTTTTTTTTTTGTTATTTGTTTTTTGACACAGAGTCACCCCCTAAGCCTCAGCTGACCTGAAACTTTGCTCTGTAGACAAGGTTGACCTCATCCTCACAGAGATCCACATGTCTCTGCCTCCTGAGTGCTGGGATTAAAAGTGTTTGCTATCATGCCTGACTATTCCCCTACTTTT